ACTTGGATAACTTTTTTATTTTCTGGTCTATCCACCAGCTTCTAGGTTTGGTTTTTTTCAATCATGGCCAACTCCTCCTTCATGGCACTCCTCCAGGATTCTGATTGTGTAGCCTCTAAATAGCTTGTAGGTTCCATTTGAGCTAAGTTGCACCTGTCATACACATCAGCAAGTGTTCTAGTTCCCCTGACAGCAACTTCTTCTTCTGATTCCTCCCCTGAGTCTTCTTCAGTTTGTTCAGGTTGAACCTCACTTAGTTGAGGTTGTGTATCTACATCAGCTCTACCCTTTTCCCAGTTCTAGATTCCTCTTTCATCAACCTTAACATCCGTACACACTACAACTTTTCTAGAGTCAGGAATATAAATTTTGTAGGCCTTGGATTGGCTGCTGTAGCCAATAAAAATTCCTGTCACAGCCTTATCCTCTAGCTTAGTCCTCTTAGCAGGTGGCACTAGGACATAGCAAAGGCTTCCAAAAATCTTCAGTTCATCCACTGCTGGTTTGACTCCAGTCCAAGCTTCAAAAGGTGTTTGGTTTTTTAAGGCTTTGGTGGGAATCCTATTGAGTAGGTAGACACTTGTGTTTGCTGCTTCTGCCCAAAATGGTTTGGGAAGATTTTTCTCAGCCATTAAGCATCTTGCCATTTCCATGACTGTCCTGTTTCTCCTCTCACAAACTCTATTCTCTTGTGGAGTGTATGGGCTGCTGTATTCATGTCTTATTCCAGCTTCAGTGCAGATTTTTTCAAACTCTTGAGAAGTGTATTCAGTGCCATTATCACTTCTCAAGGTTTTGATTGTTTTTTCTGTCAAATTCTCTACTTCAAGTTTGAATTTCCTGAATGTTCCAGCCACCTCATTTTTCTGTTTTAGGAAGTAAATCCACCCCATCCTAGACCAATCATCTATGAACAATACAAAGTATTTGCTCCCATTAAGTGATAAGGTTTGCATAGGCCCACATACATCCGAGTGAACAAGCTGGAGTTTTTCAGAGGCTCTCCAAGCTTGGTTCACTGGGAATGGTTTCCTACTCATTTTGCCTAGTTGACACACTTTGCACACACCTCTCGGCTGCTCAACAATAGGCAGATTCTAGACTAAATTTTTGGACTGCATTTTAGTCAAATTTCTATAGTGTACATGGCCTAATATTTTGTGCCACATTTCAGTTTCATCCTCTCTAACATTGCATGTTATGTCTGTTGTAGCTTTCCACATTATTGGAAAGCTTTTCCCAATCATTTTCACTCTTAAAACCTCATTACCCTCACTGTCTTGAATAATGCAGGATTGTTTTTGAAAATGTAGTGCATAATTCCTTTCCAACATTTGCCCCACACTCGAAAAACTTTGACTTATATTGGGTGCATAAAGTACATTTGAGATTAGTTTTGTACCTTTTGGAGTTTGGATTGCAACATCTCCTTTACCTCTTGCTTCCACACACTCTCCATTCCCAACCTTGATCTTTGACCGATGAGAGTAATCTATGTTCACAAAGCTACTCAGATCAGGTGTCATGTGATGTGTACACCCACTGTCAATCAGCCATGTATCATCACAAGTTTGGATCAATTGGATGAGGCCATAAACAGCTGCTCTGTCTCCTGCACTGGTTGTTGTTCATCAGCAGTTTGAGCTTGCTGTTGGGACTGCTCTCCTTTGTTTCTGCATACTCTTTCAATATGCCCAAACTGTTTGCAGGCCCTACACTGTATACCAGGTCTAAACTAGCATTTGTGCTCTGCATGTCCCTTTCTTTTGCAATGAGAACAAGCTGGAAAATTTCGCATCCCACCAGCTTTGTTCCATTGGTTGTTGGACCTTTCTTTTCCTCTTTTTTCTCCAGCAGACTTCCTATAATTCCCTTGCACGGGTTTGCCTTTATAGGTTGCCAGCATTGCCCCTTCATTCGCATCTTCAAGCCTTAGGAGCCTTCTTTGCTCTTGTGCCTGCAGAGCATGGACCAGCTCAGTCAATGTGATCTGAGTCAGGTCCTTTGAGTCCTCCAAGGATGAAATCTTGGCTTCAAACCTTTCCGGCAAGCTCACTATTACCTTCTCCACTATTCTGCTGTCTAACATCTCCACTCCAAGTAATCTGATTTTGTTGACAATGCTCATCAACCTGTCAACATATTCTTTCACCTTCTCAGCCTCCTGCATTCTTAAAGATTCAAACTCCCTTCTCAAATTCAGAACCTGCATGTTTCGTGTAGTGCTACTTCCCATGAACTCTTCTCTCAACTTGTCCCATGATTCCTTGGCTGTTTCGCATGCCATGATCCTTGTAAAAACAAGGTCTGTGACAGCTGAGTGGATATGGGACAGGGCTCTTAGAGCCTTTGATGCTTCCTCTTCATGCATTTGAATTTGGTTGAGAGTGGGATTTGGTCCCAGCTGAGGGGGTTGTCTCTCTTCCTCTACATACTGCTAGAGTCCTTGACCCCTCAGGTAAGCCTTCATTTTGACTGACCAAATATGGTAGTGTTCACCGTTGAACACAGGAGGTAGAATGGAAGCTGTTTGAGTAGTCATTTGTTTGAAAGAAAACAGGTCTGATGCAAGGCAGTTTCCAGGAGAGCTGGATGTGTTGTTTGGAGAAGAAAATGTTCAGTTTTTTGTTGGAATCAACAAAGCTCTGATACCATGTTAGTGTTTATGTGCTGGAGATAACTAAGAAGAGAATGAGAGCATGATACGATTAAAGAAAAGTGTCTGAATTTTCTTAAGTTCAAAAATGAGTTTACACTTCAACTAATAAAGCTGATATTACACTATTACACCAAACATGTAGACATATAATAACTTGATTTTAATCTAAAGCTACTGACTTAATACCAACTAAACAACAACTATGTAACACATCCCATATAATCCGGGACACATATCAAGCATTACAAAATAAGTATAACTTTGCAGTACTACAAATGGACCCCTGGCAGATTGCCTTTCAGTTTTACCGCCAAAAACATATTTGAAACATCAGTTGAACTGCTGCATTTCCAGCCAAGTATCAACCTTCAACACTAAGGATGAGTGGTTTGGATGTCATTTTGGACTAAAATATGTTTTATGGTTAGGTGCAATAGTGTCTGTCATGTATATATGTCTGCTGTAATTTTCAGATTAATGCAATGCAATATTTCAGCTCTTTTCCTTTCTTGTTTTTTCACCCTTTTCTCTCCCGTAAGACCACATTCATGCTCATAAAACCAACACTTTGTACGGGGTTGTCCAAATCTTGTTTCGTTCCTAGGATGTTTGGCTTCCCGAAAACTTACAGACCTTGTCCTAAATGACTCTGAGAAACTGGAGGCCCTGCCCAATGGCATGCATAATCTTATCTCTCTTCAGGAACTGGATTTAAGATCCTGTCCAGGCATAGTAACCTTCCCAGAAGGGGGCTTTCCCACCAAGATTACTTCCCTTCAGATAAATAGCCTTGACATCTGTAAGGCATTGTTCGAGTGGGGATTGCACAGATTCACCCCCCTTAGACGACTCAGTATTACAAGAGGGTGTGAGGATGTGGTGTCATTTCCACAGGAGGAGATAGGAATGTTACGTCCTACTTCTCTAAACCACCTGTCTATTGGCCATTTTCCGAATCTGAAATATCTATCATCCGTTCTTCTAAGCTTGACTTCCTTGAGACAACTATATCTACGTAATTGTCCTAATCTCAAATCCTTTCCAGAGAATGGACTGCCTGCCTCACTTTCCCAACTATATATCTATAGATATCCACTTCTGAAGAAAAGGTGCACAAAGGATAAAGGAAAATATTGGCCCATGGTAGCTGGAATACCTCACGTTGTCTTATGAAGACTTAATGTAATTTCATCAACCTGAAATCAATGTAAGTAAACATGCAACTAACATTTGTATCTGCTGGAATCTCCATTGATTGTTATTCAGTTTCGCTGTTCTGGAATTAAACAACCAGTTTTTGGTTCTGTCCCAGCTCTGCTTGACTTCGAGATCACGGAAGGAAGACCGGTGCTTTCCTATGGAAGAATGCTCCCTACATCAAATCAGGGATAAAGGTAAGTTCCTTTCTTTTAGGCTGCCATAATGTCTATCTATTTTAGGATTATCTTCCACTGCTTTGGTAAATACACCTTCATGACATCTTTCTTTTGTTATCTTGTATGATGTTGTTATTGTCATCTCTATCAGGCCTACAAAAATTCTGGTCAATGAAGATGAAGCTATGACAGACTGTTTCTTTGACTTACCAATTATGTTTCAGTTGGTTTCTGCGTTAAACAAATGGTGAGATTTTAAATACTTGAAAACAAGCAACTTGTAGAAAATATTTGAAACTAATTCTCCATTTTTTTTTTTTTTTTTTTTTTGGGTTCAGACCAGGAAACGAAGGATGACTGTAAAGCAGCTGTTTCACATGAAATTTCAATACTGCTGACAGCAAACACATTTCAGTTTTTCAGTTTGGGCTTTTGCTTTGGAGTTTGGAATAATTGGAGAGAACACTTTTGTTTTTGAAAGTTGTATTTTAAAGATTATGGTTTGATCTCATTTATGAGTTATTCTTTATTGTTGAGACTACTTTTACTTGTTTCCTTTCTATTTATATATAATCTGGATTAATGCGGCTATAAAGAAATCCAGAAAATTATTTGAGACTTTTCATGAAAAGTTGTTATGAATCTAGAAATTGGTGATGAGTATCTACAAACTTGACAATACAAACAAGTTTCATTCTGTTCCAACATTATTGACATATATGACTGAATTGAATGTGATCCGACATCCCTAAAAGTTTTGGTTGAAATTTGCAACATCTTTAAATTGTTCTTCTAAAACATATTGAACAAAAGTCAAATGTGGTCCAATAAATATGCTAATTTTGCATATTTAATATTATGTAATCAATATAGGTTATTTATCTATCTAGGAAGAGAAAAAATAAGAAATCACTTACCTTTAACATTAACTTTTCCTTTTAATCTCTGTTATTTCTATAGTAGGGATGGGAGGGATAGGCAAGACTACTCTTGCTCAGCTTATTTACAATGATGTCAAAGTGGAAAATCATTTTGATATCAAAGCATGGGTTCATGTTTCTGACGATTTTGATATTACTGAGACGACAAAATTAATTCTAAGGTCTATTGCTCTTGGGAGTAGCGATGATAATGACCTAAACATGCTTCAGATTGAATTGAAGCACCAACTGTTGAAAAGGAAGTTTTTGCTCGTCCTGGATGACATTTGGAATGAGAACTATGGTGACTGGACTGCCCTATGCTCTCCTTTTGAAGTTGGCACACCAGGAAGTAGGATTCTTGTTACGACTCGGAATCAAAGCGTTTCATCAATTATGAGTACTCTTCCAGCTTACATGCTGAGAGAGTTGTCGTATGATGATTGTTTGCACATATTTACTCAACACTCGTTGGGGACAAGAGATTTTAGCATGCGTCAACACTCGTTGGGGACAAGAGATTTTAGCATGCGTCAACACTTGAAGGAAGTTGGTGCGAAGATAGTGAAAAAATGCAAGGGCTTGCCTTTGGCAGTAAAAACACTTGGTTTCCTTTTACGAGGTAAATATGATCTCAGTAATTGGGAATATGTGTTAAACAGTAAAATATGGGATTTACCCGAAGGGACATGCAAGCTTATACTAGCTCTTAGAATTAGTTATCATTATCTTCCATCTCATTTGAAGCGTTGTTTCGCATATTGTTCCATATTTCCAAAGGGTTATGTATTTCAAGAACAGGAGATAACTTTATTATGGATGGCTGAGGGTTTTCTACAACATGAAATAAGTGAGATGCAATTGGATGATTTAGGTCACAATGTTTTTTTCGAGCTTTGGTCGAGGTCATTTTTTCAGCAATCAAGCATAAACAGCTCACTTTTTTTTATGCATGACCTCATCAATGATCTTGCTCAATGGGCAGCTGGAGAAATATGCTTGAGGTTGGAGAATATAGGAGAGGGTGACAAGCTAGAGAGAATTTCAGAAAATCTTCGCCATTTATCTTGCACAGATAGCTCATTTTATGACTTCAAAAGTTTTGAGGCGCTATCTAACTCCACATATTTACGAACTTTCTTACGATTGCTACCTCCAAGGTACAAGTACTTGAATAATTCCCTGGGCTGTAATGTTCGTTATATATTGTCAAAACTATCATGGTTAAGCGTCTTATCTTTGTGGAATCATTGCATCTCAGAGCTACCAAATGAAATTGGAAACTTGAAACACTTACGGTACCTTGACCTTTCTAAAACCGATATTGAAATTTTGCCTGACTCAATTAAAAAACTGCTACCACCTGAAGAAATTGTGTACAGACATAGGGAACCTAATCAACCTGGTCTCTGAGCACTCCCTATTTTTGTTGTGGGCACAGGCATTGGCTATGGTTTAGGAGAGTTGTAGTCCTTGATGCATCTTCGGGATACACTTAACATTTCAAAGTTGGAGAATGTAAATAATGTTGATGATGCCAAGGAGGTAAGCTTAATTGGCAAGACGAACCTTGATGTGCTATTGCTAAATTGGACTAGCAGTATTGACAATTCATGGAAGGCAGATATAGGGACACAAGTGCTTAATATGCTACAGCCTCATCAAAATCTGAAAAAGCTCACTGTCAAAGGCTATGGTGGTATAAAATTTGAAACTTGGTTAGGCAATTCCTCATTCTCAAATCTGGTATTACAGGAGGGTGTGAGGATGTGGTATCATTTCCACAGGTGGAGATAGGAATGTTACTTCCTACCTCTCTAAACCACCTGTCTATTGCCCATTTTCCGAATCTGAAATATCTATCATCCATTCTTCTAAGTTTGACTTCCTTGGGGCAACTATATCTACGTAATTGTCCTAATCTCAAATCCTTCCCGGAGAATGGCCTGCCTACATCACTTTCCCAACTATATATCAATAGATGTCCACTTCTGAAGAAAAGGTGCACAAAGGATGAAGGAAAATATTGGCCCATCATAGCTGGAATACCTCCCGTTGTCTTATGAAGAGTGAATGTAATTTCATTAACCTGATCCGACTAACATTTGCATCTGCTGGAATCTCCATTGATTTTTATTCAATTTCGCTGTTCTGGAATTAAACAATTAGTTTTTGGTTCTGTCCCAGCTCTGCTTGACTTCGAGATCATGGAAGGAAGACCGGTGCTTTCCTATGGAAGAATGCTCCCTACGTCAAATCAGGGATAAAGGTAAGTTCCTTTCTTTTAGGCTACCATAATATCTATTTATTTTAGAATTATCTTCCACTGCTTTGGTAAATACATCTTCATGACATCCTTCTTCTGTTATCTTGTATGATGTTGTTATTGCCATCTTTATCAGGCCTACAAAACTCAAGCTAAAAAAAAATTCTAGTTAATGAAGATGAAGCTATAACAGACTGTTTCTTTGACTTGCCAATTATGTTTCAGTTGGTTTTTGCGTTAAACAAATGGTGTGATTTTAATGTAACAATTTCTTGAAAACAAGCAACTTGTAGGTTTCAGCCGAAAAACATTAAGAGAGAGAGAGAGATCAAAACAGAGCACCAAAAACGATTTTGCAAAAGCTTCAGACCTTTCATTAAAGAAACAATATATAACACATATCCACTCTTTGCTAATTACACCTACTACAGCAGAAGTTACAGCTTTCAAATTCAAATTTCAACACAACATTACAGTAAACTTACTTCTAATGAACTTACTTAAATACCCTTTAAAACAAGATAACCAATTACACAAAAAACTCTCCCATGCACGTTAAGTCACTGCTGCATGAACGATTTTGCATTTTTCCAGAACACAATTCTGCAGACTTGAGTATTTGATGCATTTCCAGCAAGGCATCACTGCAGCAAAACTCCCACCTTGATGCACTTTGCTGGAAAACCCAAGTTTGAGTCTAAGTTCCTCAAACTTGGCTTTAGGCAACTCTTAGTCATGATGTCTGCAATCTGATCCACACCCCGGCAGTGCAACAAAGTCACTTCCCATCATTTCAGCCTCCTAACTGCATGAAATTTAATCTTTATATGTTTGGTCCTGCCGTGGGAACTGGATTCTTTGCCATTGCCACTGCTGATTGATTATCACACAATATAGGTGGTTGCCTAACTTGTTCCTGCTTCAAATCAGACAGGATTTTTCTGAACCAAGCAGCTTGGTTCACAGCAGCTGCGGCAGAAATGTACTCTGCCTCTGCAGTGGACTGAGCCACTGAGTCTTGCTTCTTTGCAACACCCAATGGCACCTTCATTGATGTAAAACACATACCCAGAAGTACTTTTCATGTCATCTAAGGAACCTCCCCAGTCACTGTCTGTGTATCCCTGCAGAACCAATTTTTCTGCTTCTTAAACCAAATGCCCAGGTTTGAGGTTCCCTTCACATACCTTAGCACCCTTTTGCAGCCCTATAGTGAGATTCACTTGGACACTCATAAATCTGGAGAGGTAACTCACTGCAAACATCAGGTCGACGTGTGGCTGTCAAGTACAACAAAGCATCCTATCAGGCCTCTAAACATACTCTCATCCACCCCTTTTCACCCATCATTTTTGCTCAGCTTCAGTGTAGAGACTAAGGGTGTACATGCAGGTTTACAATTCTCCATCCCAAACTTTATGAGAATTATTTGCATACTTTTCCTGATGCACAAATATTCCATTTTTGGACTGAAAAATCTGCATACCAAGAAAGTATGACATCTCCCCCAAATCTGTCATCTCAAACTCAGATTTCATGGATTGTTTGAACTTGCTCAACTAATCTGGATTACTCCCTGTCATTAGCAAGTCATCCACATACAGTGACACAATAATTAAATCACCTTCAGCTTCTTTAACATAAAGGTATGTTCATTTGGACTTCTTACATAACCCAAGTTGTTAAGGTAATCGTTATGCGGCTGTACCAGGCCCTAGGAGCCTGTTTTAGACCATACAATGCCTTCACCAGCCTGTATACGTTGCTTTCTTCACCATTCACTTGGTAGCCTTGGTTGGTCCAAAAAATCCTCTTCTAGGCAGTCATTTAGGAAGGCAGATTTGACATCAAGTTGGAAATTTTCCAACTAAATTGGGCTGCCATGGCTAGATCATCCTTATAGTGTCATGTCTTGCTACCGGAGCAAACGTATCAGTGTAATCCACACCTTGTTGCTGTGCAAATCCTTTTGCCACGAGTCTAGCCTTGTGTTTGTGGATTGTATCATCCGGATTGAGCTTTAATTTATAGATCCATTTTACCTGAATTATTATTCTATTTCAGGTCTTTCAACTAACCTCCAGTGTTGTTCTTCTCAATCATGGAATCTCCTCCTGCATAGCACTTTTCTAGGCCTCTGATCCAGCTCAGCATACGTTTTAGGTTTGACACAGCCACATTGACCTTGCATAAACATCAGCTAAGGTCCTGGTTCCACGAACTGATGGTTTTTATCTTCTTCAGTTTCATGTTCATCTAGAGAGCTTTGGTTGGTGTTGGGTGTTATAATCAGCAATAACTTCTTGCTCTCCAACACCAAACTGCATTCTCATCAATTCTCACATCCCTAGTGATCACCATTCTTTTGTCTCCGGAATGTACACTCTGAATCCTTTTGATTGGTTGCTAAACCAATGAAAATACCAACTTCAGCTTTGTATCCAGCTTGGTCCTCTTCACTGTGGAACCATCAATAGCACACACTTCCAAACATCTCAAATAGCCAATTGCAGGTTTAGTTCAGTCCATGCCTCAGCTGGTGTTTCCCTTTGACTGCTTTGGTTGCAGCCTATTCAGAAGATAAACTCCCGTATTTACAGCCTCAGCCCAGAATTTCTTAGGAAGGTTTTTTCTGCCAACATGCATCTAGCCATCTCCATGATGGTCCTATTTCTTCTTTCACTTACTCCATTTTGCTGTGGAGTGTATGGAGTAGTGAATTGATGCCTAATACCAGCTTCTAAACAAAGAGATTGAATTCCCTTGAAGTATACTCTGCTCCGTTGTCAGTTCTCAATGATTTGATCTTTGTTCTAGCTTCATTTCTTACTAACAGTTTGAATTTCTAAACACTGCAGGAACTCACCTTTTTTGCTGTAAAAAATACACCATGTCATCCGTGTATAATCATATCTAAGAGTATGAAATAGCTGCTTCCACTCAAGGATTCTGTTTGCAGGGCACAAACATCTGAATGAATCAGTTGAAGCTTCATTGTTGCTCTCCAGGTCTGATCCGTAGGAAACGCAGGTTGCTCAATTTTCCAATTTGGCATGCACTGCACAATGTGCTTCTCTCCTCAATTTCTGGTAGGTCACTAACCATGTTTGCATTCTTCAACTCTTGAGGCCATTATAGTGGTAATGTCCAAGCCGTTTGTGCCAAGTTTCGGACTCCTCCAGTCTACTTAAAAGGGCAAATTCATTGGTGGTTTTCCACTCAACTGGAAAACTTTTCCTTTGCATCTTTACCCTCATCAATTCAGCTCCTTTAGAATCAAGTATGGTACAAGCTTGATCCTCAAAATGTAATGAATAACCCTTCTCTAACATCTGCACACCTCATAAATTTTGGCTAAGTCTAGGAACAACACACATGAGAGATTAACTTTGTACCTGACCAAGTTGGACAGCAACATCCCCCATGCTTGACTTCCATGAGCTCACCCTTTCCTATGTTATCTGGGCAATATGATCTATCCAGGTTCACAAAGTTTTGCAGGTCTGCAGCCATATGATTTGTGCAGCCGCTGTCAATAACCAAGCTTCACTGCTGGTTTGTGTCATGTAACAAGTGGCCAAAAAGTTGTTCAGCCTCTTGACATTGTGTTGATCCTCCCAACGTTGCTTGGTGTGGCTGTTTCCTTTGTTTTCTTACACACCCTTTCAATATGCCCGAATTGCTTGCAACTCCTGCACTGTATCCAGGCCTGAACCAGCATCTCTCTCCGGATGCCCTTTCTTTTTACAATAAGTACAGGCTGGAAATTCTTTCACTCACCAGCCCTTTCCCACTGATTACTACTCTTCTCTTTCCCCTTTCTATCTCCAGCATACTTCCTTGTGTGGTCTGTGAGGTTTGCCTTTGAAGCTTGCAACCAATACCCTCACAATGTCTTCTGCCTCATGAGTTCCCTTTGTTCTTGCGCTTGGAGAGAATGAACAAGCTCAGTCAATGTGATCTGAGTCATGTCCTTAGAGTCCTCCAAAGAAGAAATTTTGGCCTCAAATCTTTCCGGAAGACTACCAAAACCTTTTCCACACCTTCGGTCAGCCAACTCCACTCCTATAAGCTGATTTTGTTGACAACATTCATTAGTCTATCAACATAATCCTTTACTTTTTCAGTTTCCTGCATTCTTTGCATCTCAAATTCCCTCCTTAGATTAAGAATCTGCATATTCCTTGTGTAGTGCTCCCCATGTACTTTCTCTCAATTTATCCCATGCTTCTTTGGGGTTTTCGTATGCCATGATCTTGTAAAAACAAGATCAGTTACAACAGCATGTATGTGAGAAAGAGCTCTCGGAGCTTTGGCTGTTTCTTCCTCATGCATCCTCAACGGTCAACGTGGGATTCTGTCCAAGTGGTGGTGTGCGCGTTTTCTTTCACATACTGCCACAGTCCCTGTCCACGAAGGAAGGCTTTCATCTTTATTGCCCAGATGTGGTAATGTTCTCCATTGAACACCGGTGGAGCCATCAATGCAGATTGTGTTGTCAGCTCTATTTTTCACGTCTGATGCAGAGAAGAAGGAAGGCAGATGCAGGTTAAGTTTTTGCTTGAGAATGGAGTGTGTTTTTGAGTCGTAAACGAAAGGTTTGGATGCTAAGTTTCTGTTTTTTGCGATGGCTCTGATACCCATTCGTAGGTTTCAGCGACGAAGAACATTAAGAGAGAGAGAGAGATAAAACAGAGCACCAAAAACGATTGCAAAAGTTTCAGACCTTTCATTAAGAAAAAATATATAAAACATATCCACTCTCTGCTAATTACACCTACTAGCGAGAAGTTACAGCTTTCAAATTCAAATTTCAACACAACATTACAGTAAACTTACTTCTAATGACATACTTAAATACCTTTAAAACAAAGAAACCAATACAAAAAAATCTCCCAGCACGTTAAGTCACTGCTGCATGAACCATTCTGCATTTTCCAGAACACAATTCTGCAGACTTGAGTATTGATGCATTTCCAGCAAGGCATCACTGCATAAACAAACTTAGAAAATATTTGAAACTAATTCGCCATAATTTTTTTGGGTTCAGACCAGGAAACGAAGGATCTGGAAAATGGACTAGAGCAGTGTTTCACATGAAATTCAATACTGGATAGCAAGCACCTTTCGGTTTTTCAGTTTGGGCTTGTGTTTGCTTTGGAATAATTGGGAGAACACTTTCGGTTTTGAATGTTGTATTTTAAAGATTAGGTTTGATCTCATTTATGAGTTATTCTTTATTGTTGAGACTACTTTTTGTTAGTGTTTGTGTGCTGGAGATAACTAAGAAAAGAAAGAGAGCAAAAAAAAAAAACGATTGAAGAAAAGTGGTCTGTATTTTCTTGAGTTCAAAAGAGTTTACACTTCAACTATAAAGCAGATTTTTACACTATTACACCAACATGCAGACATATAAAAACTTATTAATCTGAAGCTACTGACTTAATACCAACTAAACAACACTCGTTAACACATCCCACATATCTGGGATACATATCAAGCATTACAAAAAGAGTAAAACTTTGCAGTATTACAAATGGACCCTGGCAGATTGCCTTTCAGTTTTACCGCCAAAAAACATGTTTGAACATCAGTTGAACTGCTGCATTTCCAGCCAAGTATCAACCTTCAACAATTTTACGTTGTCCTTTATGTTTATATATACTTGGATTAATGCGGCTATAAAGAAATCAAGAAAATTATTTGAGACTTTTCATGAAAAGTTATTCTGAAGCTAGAAATTGGTGATGAGTATCTAATAAACATCTCAGAGTAATGAAAGAGATGTAGCAATTCTTCTTTGTAGGATGGCTCTCCTCTGTTTCAGCAGAGGATCACTCCTAGAGCAGAGGTGCAAAAAGGATAGTGGTATTTCTTTAGACCTCTAGACGTAAGTTTTTAAATTGCCCCTTGATGGTATGTCCTACTGCATCCTGCTGAGTACTTTCTGATACGAATCTTATTGTTGGAAGTCTCAGCTCAGTTCGTTACTTCCATCTTCATGTGAATCATGTCAATATTTTTTCAGAATGATACTTGTTTATAACTGTTGAATGAAAAATGGTCTTTGCGTCACAAACGAAAATGTTAATTTCTAGTAATACAAATGCCATATACGACTTCCTCATCAACATAACAAAGGATAGCCCTTCCACAATAAGGAACAAAGCAGAGTGTATCATAAACATCTCAAAATTAAATAGATTTAGAAGTTGTCTTCTTTAGGAATATCCTCCTCTGTTTTTACAAAGGACACTGCTAAAATAGTCTTCAAAACATAGGTTAAGAAAAGGGATACCCAGGGCATACAAAACAGAGGTAAAAGCATACAATTCGTTGCATTTCACCAGCATGGTTTGATCTGCTTTATTGAGATAAATATGATGATGTGAGTACCTATTCTCGTAATAGTTATTAAATCCTGGCTGAAAAGATTTCTCTACTCCTCTGCCAACTGCTAGGTAATGGATGGTTATAGTCCATTTGGTAAAAATACAGCTGTAACATGAAACTTCTTTCAACTAATTACTGCATGTATCAATTTCATATGCAATCAAGGTTAATTAAAAATGGCATTAGTTAAAATGAATAAGAGGATTCAACTTATATGTAACTGTTCTGCCATTTTTTTACCTTGAGCTTCAGCTTTCAAAAACCAAACTGAATTTCTAGTTTCACCAGTTCAACCTCTCTACAGTTTTCCAACCCAAGCACATAACCCACCACCTGTTTGTAAAGCATTAGCACCTTAGAAGAGTGTTTCAAAATTTATGCTTTCGGAAAGTTGACTGATCCTCTGCTTTTATCTATATTATGTATTTATAATAAACAATAAATAACTCTTGAAAATTATTTTGTTTACGTTTGTCCATTATTAGTACTAGTCCATGTAGGTCACGCTTGCTAAAACACAGTGGAAGTTGACTTCTCTGAGTCCATGGTCAGGCAGTCAATAAGCAACAACTGCTTTTTAGTTTGGAGACAAAAGAAACAGATATTTTCTTCCTAGGTCATTGTTATGCAGATTTTTGGCTACCACATGTTCCATCAAAATTCTTCCGTTTCTTCAAAGAAACCATGTCTATGATGGGAGAGGCTATTCTATCTGCCTGCATCGAGGTGTTGTTCAAAAAGCTGGCCTCACCTGAACTTCTGCAGTTCGCACGCCAAAAGAAAATCCATGCTAATCTCCAGAAATGGGAAAAAATATTGGTTATGATTCGTGCTGTGCTTGATGATGCTGAGGAGAAGCAGCTGACGAACAGGTTAGTGAAGATCTGGCTTAGCGAGCTTAAAAACTTAGCTTATGACGTGGAAGACATATTGGACGACTTTGCAACTGAAGCTTTGCGGGTAAAGTTGTTGCTAGAACCCCAAGCCAGCACAAGTAAGGTACACAAGCTCATCCCTACTTGCTGCATCAGTTTGAATTCACCATCTTTCATATCTAATATCAAGATGCGGCCCAAAATAAAAGAAATCACTATCAGATTGCAAGATATTGCAGCACAAAAAAACAACCTCGATTTGAAAGAGAATTCGGTTAGGGCATCCGTCAAAGCCAGTGAAAGAAAACCCACAACCTCTTTGGTGAATGAAGCTTATGTTTGTGGTAGAGAAAAAGATAAGGAGGCGATATTTGAATTATTATTGAGGGATGAGGGCACTGAGTGTGGAGTCTCTGTTCTTCCAATAATAGGGATGGGAGGAGTGGGCAAAACAACGCTAGTCCAACTTGTCTACAATGATGCCAGAGTTGAAGATCACTTTGATCTCAAAGCTTGGACTTGTGTTTCCGAAGATTTTGATGTTGTTAGGCTAACAAAAACAGTTCTACACTCGGTTGATACTAGGACTGATGAAGTAAATGATCTAAATTTGCTTCAAGTCAAACTCAAGGAGAAACTAATTGGAAAAAAGTTTTTGCTTGTTTTGGATGATATATGGAATGATGATTATGATGACTGGACGGTATTACGTTGTCCATTTGAAGTTGGGTTACCAGGAAGTAAGATTATTGTCACAACTCGTAGTCAAAATGTTTCAAAAATCATGGGTACTCTTCCAGCTTACTCATTAAATCAACTATCAAATGACGCTTGTTTGAGTGTATTCTCAAGACACTCATTGGGGACAAATGATTTTAGTATGCATCAATACCTTAAGGGCACTGGTGAGCTGATAGTGAGAAAATGTAACGGTTTGCCTTTAGCAGCAAAAACTCTTGGTGGCCTTCTACGTGGTAAATATGATCCTAACGATTGGGAAGATGTGCTCAATAGCAATATATGGGACTTACCGGGTGGAATTATACCAGCTCTAAGGTTAAGTTACCATTATCTACCTCCACATTTGAAACGGTGTTTTGCATATTGCTCGTTATTCCCTATGGGATACGAATTTCAAGAGGAGGAGGTGATATTATTATGGATGGCTGAAGGTTTCTTGCAACATGAAATTGGTGAGAGGCAAATGGAAGTTTTGGGTCGCAAGTCATTTCGTGAGTTGTACGCAAGGTCATTTTTCCAACACTCAAGCAAAGATACTTCTTGGTTTGTTATGCACGATCTCATCAATGATTTAGCTCAATGGGCTGCAGAAGAAATTTGCTTTATGATGGAAAACGCACTGGAGAGTGATAAGAAAGAAAAAATCTCAAAAAATCTTCGCCATTTATCATACATTGGCGGCAAATATGACGGCCTTAAGAAGTTTGAGGCCTTGAAAGATGTCAAGCAGCTACGGACCTTTTTGTCACTCAAGCTGGTGCATCCCGGCTGGTGTTACTTGACCTATAATGTTGTTTTGCATATACTGCCAAAACTACAACGCTTAAGGGTCTTATCTTTACATGGGTATCGCATTGTTGAGCTGCCAAATGGAATTGGTTATTTGAAACAGCTACGCTACCTTGATCTCTCCAGTACTGCAATTGAAATTTTACCTGACTCAATCAGCAATCTTTACAATTTACAAACACTTAAATTAGAAAATTGCCGTCGACTGAAGAAATTGTGTGCACAAATTGGGAGCCTAATAAACCTACAACATCTCAATAATTCTAACGCACATTCGTTGGAAGAAATGCCTTTGAGCATCAGTAAGTTAACTGGTCTCCGAACACTGCCCTTTTTTGTAGTAGGCAAAGGAATCTGCTCTGGGCTAGGAGGGTTGAAGTCATTGATGCATATTCGGGAGACACTTCACATTTCAAGGTTGGAGAATGTTGATGATGTTGGGGATGCCAAGGATGCCAGTTTACATAGCATGAGGAACCTTAATGCTGTACTGTTGGAATGGGCAAACAGTCTTGGAGTTTCAAATAAGCCAAGAACTGAAACACATGTGCTTAATGTGCTGAAACCTCACCAGAAGCTGAAAGAGCTCACTGTCAGGGGCTATGGTGGCACAAGATTCCCAACTTGGTTAGGGGATTTCTCATTTTCAGATTTAGTGATCCTACGACTTGAAGATTGTGGTAAGTGTACTTTCTTGCCATCTGTTGGACAACTACCCTTTCTCAAGGGACTTTTCATCAAAGGAATGGCTGGAGTAAAGATTGTTGGACTGGAGTTTAATGGAAATTGCCTCTCAGTGCCTTTTCCTTCACTGGAGACTCTTTGTTTTGAGTGTATGCAAGAATGGGAAAACTGGATTCCTCATGAACCTGGTCAAGAAGTTATAGGTTTTCCTCGTCTACAGGTGCTTTCAATCGTAAGATGTTCTAGACTTCTAGGCGTATTGCCAGAGCATCTCCCTTCATTGAAAAGGCTTGTGGTTAAAAGATGTGAGCTGTTGGTGGTGTCAGTTCCAAGTCTTCCATCCCTTTGCAAATTAGAAATTGATGCATGCAAAGAGGTGGTGTGGAAAACTAATGTCGACCTTAGCTCAGTGAGCTCTGTGGTTCTTTCTGATATGTCAAGTCACATGCTTGAATCTGAGCGCTTTCTGCCAGTCTTACCAAAATTAGAAGAATTGAAGATTGTTGGCTGTAAAGATCTAATATTTTTCTGTCAGAGTGGAAATAGTTTAATGAAAGATGTTAGCTACCTTTGTCAATTGGTGATTGAGCAGTGTCCCCAACTTCTTTCCTTGGTGGCAGAGGAAGGAGAACAGCAGCAATATGGGTCTCCTTGCAGACTTCAATCCTTGGAGTTGAGGGATTGTGAATCCCTTGTGAAGTTACCTCAAGTATTGAACAACCTTAGTTCCCTCAGGGAGATATCTATCCAAGAATGCCCGAAACTTGTTTCCTTTCCAGAGGCTAGTCTACCTTCCCAGCTTAGATTCATTAGCATTTTCAAATGCAATGCACTAAAATCCTTACCTGAGGCATGGATGCACAGCAGCGATACGTCTCTTGAAAGTTTGTCTATTGGATTCTGTGATTCTTTGACATGTATTGCTACAGTGCATCTGCCTCCGAATCTAAAGCGGTTGGTTATCCATGGTTGCAATAATCTAGAGACTTTGATAGATGAGGAGGAAGTTTCGGTGATGCACGAGGAGAATATCAAAAGAGGCAGCAGTTGTAGGGATACTTCTTTTCTTGAGTACTTGGAGATTAAACACTGTCCATCCCTTACATCCGTATGGTCAAAAAGTGAGTTACCTGCCACACTTCAACAAATGGAGATTTTTCATTGCTCAAATCTTGTTTCCTTATCATCAAGAGGCAATCTTCCTAAGGCTCTCAAATACCTATTTATTGATAGATGTTCAAAGATGGAGTCATTGGCAGAAAGAGTGCACAATAACACTTCTCTAGAAAGTATTACAATTTGTGATTGTGAAAATCTTACATCATTACCCAATGACTTGCACCAACTCCGGCATCTTCAAAAGTTAAGTATATTGGATTGTCCAAACTTTGTTTCCTTTGCAGAAGGAGGATTGCCTTCTACTAAACTATCAGACTTCTCCATTATTGGGTGTGAGAAACTGGAGGACCTACCTAATTGCATGCACAATCTCAACTCTCTTCAATATTTAGCAATATTAAATTGTCCAAGCATTGTATCCTTCCCTGAGGATGGCTTTCCAACCAACCTTCTGTCACTTGAGATTAAAGATCTAAGTATCTGTAAGTCTTTGTTCATGTGGGGATTGCAGAAACTCACCTCTCTTAGACGACTCTGCATAAGTGGGGAATGTTCAGACATGGTATCATTTCCATGTGAGAAGATAGAAATGAAGCTTCCTACTTCTCTAATTCAACTGCAGATTGAAAATTTTCCGGACCTGGAATGTCTATCCTCCACTGTTCAAAACCTCCCATCCTTGGAAGAGCTGGAACTCTATAGTTGTCCTAAGCTCAAATACTTTCCAAGGGTTGGTCTGCCTCCCTCGCTTTTGCGACTATATATAGATGGATGTCCTCTGCTACAAAAACGGTGTAGGAAGGATAAAGGAAAATATTGGTCCATGATAGCCCATATACCTTATGTTTTCACAGATTGGAGATGGGTGTTTGATCAAAGAAGAGTATTAAATCCTGTTTAATTTCACAAAACCACCAGGTACCTTAATTATAATTGATACTCAGCCAACATTTATATTCTCATTTAACTGTGCAGGAACCTCAATCTATTCTTATTCATTTCCTCTTGATCAAAACAGGCAAGTAACGTTTCTGGCCCTTTGTGTTCTCATATTTTGCCAAGATGACAGCACAAGTCCCTCAGTCAAATCTGTGGATAAAGGTAAATTCATTTTTCTCTGTTGAGGGTAAATCTCCTCTGTTGTACGAGAGTTGCTAAAACTCTGTCGTACAAGAGTTGCTAAAAGGATAACGGACAGATTGGCCCAGGATAGCCCACATAATTTATGTCTAACATAAATTGGAAATTCGCGTTTGCTTCCCAAGAAGATAAGGTAGGCAATTTCAAAAATACTCAACTAATGTTTAGAATTTTGTTAAACTATGAGGAAGCTATATTGATTCTTTTTCATTTTCTCTGGATCCAAACAGTTGATTTCATAATTCTGCTGCTCCACTTGTTTTCCCCCAAGTGAATAGCAAGCCCCTCGCCAATTCTATCCTTATAGGTGAACTTCTTTCTTTCTAGAGTAAATATATATTTGTTTTTTATGATTAATCCTTTGTGTGAACTGAAGATAAACTTGCTGTTGACCTTCTTTTTGATTGATAAACTTGCTGTTATATCTTCAGTTGACCTTCATTAACTGAAGACATAGTCAACGGAGCATCAGAGATAACATCAGATGTAAAGTTCTATCAAGCAATGATAGTGGTCTGGTTGAACAAATGAAAAAGGTTTAGGTGATACTGAAGATGGTGAATAGGTATAGTTTATGTTAAGGTTCTTTCGTTCTATAACTACTTTGGTTCATCATAGGGTCAAACTTGTTTGACAGTGGCGGATCCAGGAATTTCACTCGATGGGGGCAAAAAATAAACAAAAAAAAAAAAAAAAAAATTAAAACCAATTATATTCATACTTTTTTTTTTAATTATGATGAGCTCAACAAAAAGTTACAAAATACAAATAAATATCTTAAAAAAACACAATTTTTGTAAAAATAAAACAATTTTTCTACAATTGTCCTCAACAAGCTTTCATATTCTGAAAACGTTGGATAATTATCTTATCATCAACTGTATCAAATACATCTTTCTCAATATAGGTGACCAAACAATCATTCATCCATTGATTTCCCATTCGATTGCATAACCAATTTTTCGCAAGATTCATTGCAGAAAAAGTCATTTCAACGATCACAGTCGAAACTAGTAAGACCAATGCAAGTTTCACAAGCTTATACACCAACGGATACAAAATGTCTTTTTTAAACTGAACTAAAATCTTATCTAAATCACCAATTCCTTCTAACTCAACAAAATTCATCACAAGAACGTCTGTCAATAACATAAGTCCTAGTATGGTTCTCAAGTATCATCAACTCAAGTGCAGAAAAATCAGTTGGATAAAACTGGGCAAAACGGATCAACTTATGCCTATCAAAAGCAGAGAATGAAATACTTGGATCTAAACATGTCATACAAAGAAGCAGCTAAATACTAACCTTAGTGAAACAAGTGTGAAGTTCTTGAAGTTGCATATCTATCACTGTAAAAAACAATTCAACTCGATAATGATGCAAATTTTTCATGTGCTCAACTCTTCGTTGTGACTGCCTTCGAATTGCAAACATATCATCCATATTCAAAATGACAATATCATGTTTTTGGCAAAATGNGATCATATCAAATATACACAGAAAAAATAATTCAGCATATATATAGTAATATCGGAAACAATTTTAATACAACTAACTGAAAAATTCAAAACAGACTACAAAAATCTTAAAATTCCAGAACACATCACAAGAAGTAAGGTAGCCCAGTGGTCAAGACATTTAACTCTCATTTAAGAGTTCTGGGTTCAATTCACGGTAACGGAGTTTTAACTTTTAACAATTAACATGACTGAATTAAAAGCATTCTTTGCAGAATACAATAAATCAAATTTAATCAAACAAAATGACAAGCACGTAAATCGGCCTGTGTGGTTCAGTGAATCAAATAAAAAAAACTCTCAACCACTTGATTCCAGGTTCGAGTCCCAGGCGTAAATTTTTTTTTTTTAAATTTAAATAACGACATGTCGTTTCCAAAAATTAAAGAAAAACAACTTGTCATATCTTGAGGCCCAGTCGTCTTCAACCTTCAGCCGGGTCTGCAACTGGATACCCGACCTGAAAGCAACCCACTTTGAACCCGAAAATTTAAAATACCATAACTCAGTCAATTTAACTCCATTTTAGACGATTCAAAAGCCCTTTTTCTCATAATTTCACAGGGAATTTAATTTTTTAACCAATTTAACCAAACAAAATTCCCAAACATGAATATGAGAGAATCAGAATTGAATAAAAAACATAAATAAAATTACAGCATACTTCATCACATCTTAACACTGAACAATAAGCAAGAAGCATGGCTCTGATACCAAAATGTAAAACATTACGTATGTAATATAATGCAGAATTTAACCAAATTACCTCTAGCCATATTGTTCAGGTGTTGTAGAAAGTTAAAACGTGACTGATTTGTGAGTGAATGTTTGAGAGATGTCTTCTAGCCTATGCCTCCAGAACCTTTTTCTTCCTTTTGTATTTTCGTGATATATCTTTGATGGAGAAGATATATCTTTATATATGGCTAGGCTAGGGACCAAGTAACTCTCATCAACTGCCTTTTAACCTCCCATCAAGGATCAAAGGAGGCAGTTAATAACTCCTTTAAACCACCTTGAACTGCATAATTGTGGCATGTGGCCACATCAAGTCTTACATTTGGATCATATAAAGAATGTTTTGGAGATACTCTTAATGAGAAGCAATATTTATCATGTTATACACTTCTTAACTAAGTTGTTTGTTATAACTATTTTATAAAATTAATCGAGTTATGTTCTTAATAAACAAATTTGAAGCAGGAGACCTGACTCAATTACCATTACTGGAGTACAATCGGATATACGATTCGCATTCTTGAACAAGCCTCCTAGTGCAATGCCGGCATTGTTCACCAGATGATCCACTGCTGCTTAAACCACATAATCATCAAACCATAAAGAATTTCTGGTATATTAAAAACTATATACAACAAGAAAAAGAATACAAAAGTTAGACCATGAAATTGGTAGCTTATGAAGTACTGGAGTGTTACTGGTACATACATCTGCCAAAATGATGGACTGCAGCATCATCAATAAATTGATTACAGTCTTGTGTGATGGAAACATCTGCACGGACAGCGATAACATCTGGAGAGCCAAGACGCAGAGTTTTTTCAACCACATATCCCAAACGCTCTTCTTTCAAGTCAACAAGAACTAAACATGCTCCTCTATTCGCGTCGTCATAAGCAATTTGCTCCAAAATTTTAAAAGAAATTATTTATCAGTAAATAATAATATAAATAAGAGGAGTGTTATTGGCTGCATGAGCTGTCAATTATTGAATTGATTTTGTACTAATTTCATAATTACTTCTAGGAATATGTTAGTTGACCAATCTTGTACCTAAATATAGAAACAATTTGTTTCCTTTTTAGGATGTAATTATCTTCATATATTACCTCTGATTTGGAGAAGAATACGCACAGAATTATTTAGTATTGAAAATTTTGTTTGACATGGTATCAGAGCAGGTTCCCAAGAGAAGCTGTGTTAACAATTGAATTTCTTTTTCTTTTCTTTCGAAATTCGTATTCGTATTCTGAATATTTACCATTGTTGTGAATTCTATGGTTGCTATCACAGGCGTATCAATAGATCTTCTCCGACCACCAACACCACAAGTTGTTGTTCATCAAGACAACTCGACATTTCCAATCGGAATCACTCTGTATGAGACCAAGTACTCATTATGGTCTCAACTCATGGAGATGCGGATCAGTGCTCGCAACAAAGCTGGTTATCTTACTGGAGAAATGAAGAAACCAACACCTGGAGATCCTAATCTTGGATCATGGATTACTAAAAATCACAGAGTCAAAAGTTGGCTGATTAATTCAATGAGTCCATCGCTGATGCAACGATTCATTCGTCTCCCTACAGCCAGAGATATATGGGAGGCTGTATCGAAAACATTCTATGACGGAACTGACGAAACCTGTGTTTTTGAGCTGAATCAGAGATCTTTCTCTACCAAACAGAATGGACAACCATTACCAACGTATTACAATGAACTGGTTGCCATTTTCCAGGAAATCGATCACAGGACTACCTCCCAAGAAGGAACAGTCGAAGGGGTGTTACAGCTGCACTCTGCAATGGCTAGGCTTCGAGTTCATATTTTTCTAAGTGGACTTGACTCAGAGTTTGATCAGGTTCGTGGAGAAATATTATGAAAAGATCCGAAGCTTGATTTGGAAAGCACGTATGCTTATGTTAGAAGGGAATACCAGCAGAGACAAACAATGGGAGGCTCTCATCCAATTTCTGAGAACTTCGCCATGCTAGCCAGTAATAATCGATATGGATCTTCGAAAAACTGGGGCAATCAATTATCTAGCAAGGTTAACAATCTGGTATGCACTCGCTGTGGAGAAAAAGGTCACTCACAACAACGCTGCTATGAAATCATTGGCTATCCCGAGTGGTGGGATTTCTCAAAGAATCCCCATAAGAAAATGGTTGGGAAGGCTATGGTGACAGCAACAAAGGACGAAGAACAACCACCGCCTACAGCAAATGTTGCCCACCAAGGTATTATCGGTAAGACATTTGTATTTTCTGTAACTTCTAAGAATAGAACTTGGATTATTGATACAGATGCATCTGATCTGACTAGAGATTCTGGCCAATTACAATCTGTTCTTCCATCTTCTCAATCTATTTTTTCCACTGCAAATGGTAGTACTTCTCCTATTATTGGGGAAGGGTCTGTTACCTTGACTAATACTCTTAAATTAGATATTGTTCTTGTTGTCCCATCTCTTGAATACAATCTTTTGTCTGTTAGCAAAATTA